TAAAAAGTGAAATTTCTTACAAAAATTCTCAAGAACAAGTGCAAACAAGAATGGAAGATTATTATAATGTCAACGTTGAATGAAGTTTTTTTTTAATTTTTCACCACTGTATTTTTATTATTATTATTATTATATTATTTGCATTCATTATTTAAAAATAAAATTATTTTTAACGTAACATGTATCACATGATTTAATCAAAATCCGGATATCTCGGTATAGCGGATGACTCAGTATAGCGGATAAATTTCTTGGAACAAACATATCCGTTATACCGAGACTCGCTGTGTAATGAATTTCGATTTATCTATACCTTGTTGATCGACCAATCAAATTTAAGCCCGCTATGCTTGTGTAACCCCTTAATGATATTCATGATATTCATGAATAAACCCCTAAAAAGCTCATGTATTGTTTTTATATGTATATATTAAAATTTACGCATTGTTTAAATTATATATATTAATAAGTATTAAGGAATCAAGTGCCTGGTGCATCCAAATAATTTTTCAAAATGAAACCTAATTTATTATTCATTATTTTAATTGTCATCTCTTCCATAATAATAGTATCTGGAGATAAAAGAATTTATGTAAAAACAAAAAATTAAAAAACAGTCAACAAATTCGTCAAGGATCTTGCTCACAAACAATACAAGCAGAAATCCCATCTGTCAATAAAATGCCATCAACATTAATAATAGAACCAATTAATGGTCAAATACTAAAATCACAACAATCATTTAGAGTTAAAACAAAAATTTCAAATTTAATAACCGGTTTCTTCACCGATCCAAATGAAAAATATTATACCAAACCTCAACAGTTGAAAAATGGCCTGATCAAAGGACATTCTCACATTACCCTACAAAAACTTGATGGTAATAATTTACCTGATGCAAAGGATTTTGTATTCTTTAAAGGATTAGATCAACCAGATAAAAATGGAATTTTATCAGTCAAAGTAAAAGGTTTATTGCCCAGTGATTATAGAATTTGTACTTTAACCTTGTCATTCTCTCATCAACCTGTGATAATGCCCATTGCACAACATGGTTCACAAGATGATTGTATCAGAATCAAAATCAAAAGAAAAAAGAAAATATAAAATTAAAAGTACTAATCAATATATCAAGTTGCCAAAAAAAATTTTATTATTATATAGATAATTTTTATGTCATAAATGTAAAAAAATTTACAATAGCTTATTATTGTTTTAACTTTTATATTTGGCATCGCCAGATTCGGGGTATTTTTCATATAATAAAAAATATATAAATCTTAATTTTTTCGTTTTTATTTGCACCAGACAAAAAACCTTTTTATATAGAAATTTGCATTTTTTTTTAAAGAATGTCAATTCTTTTTACCCAATTTGAGATTAGCCATTTCTTTTTTACAATTAGTATTAGCAGAATACCTACCAATCTAACATTTTGTTGGCTTATATATATATTATTATTGAAGTTTTTTTATATAAATAAATTTTAAAGCTCATTAGAGGCCAAATAAGAGCATAATGGAATGATATCGTGTTACATTGTGATTTGATTTCTTGCAAATAATGTAATAGGTAACTATATATATGTCGATAAACCATCATTTCTTCAACAAATTTTTTATTTCTTTCTATATTAATATATATATATATATATAATATAATAAAATGTCATCAGAATATGACAAAATTTTATACTTGGCCCATATATTTGGTATAGCTTTGATGGTAAATAAATTATTGAATAAAATTATTTGTTTTAAAATCGCACTCAAGTTTTGACCTTCATTGAATCTTTTTAGGTGTTTTATCACAATACTATAATTTCAGTTTTAAGAATATGTAAAAGACGGATAAACATTTCTGATATTGCAAGAATCATTTTCAACTTTACAGGAGGAATTTGACTCACTCTCCAATTCATTTATTCTGTACTATCACCATTTGTCGACCTGTCAGCATGTAAAACTGTCTCTTTCATTTACACAATCATCATTCTGATATATAGAGTTTCTCTGTCAGCTTTTTTATTATGGAGGATAAAACATATTGGTGAAACAGAATTCGACAAGCAGATTGCTTATATTTTATTTTTTATAAGGACAATCTTACAAGTAAGTAATAAATATTTTATATTTACATATATACATATATAATAATAACAATGTGCTTGATTTTTTAGATTATACATATTGGTTTATTAAAACCAACAATTACTTTGAATACTTCTACACCAAATATTCATCCTGTCCATTGTGATCTGAACCTTTCAACAAATCTAGTTACTTGGGGTTGGCTTATAGCAGATTTCTTGATTGATATTTATGTATCAATTTGATTATTTATAATAATGGGTTCAGCCAATAGAAGTTTTAGTGTTAGTATTAGCTGTTTTAGTAACACTAGTACTGGTGCTAGTGCTACAATATATTCAGCTGTTTTATACTGGAATTATTCTAGGATTTTTTTTGCAACTTTATTAAATTTCAATACAGTTATTGATGTAATTAAACCTTTTAATTTGGATTCTGTATTCAGCCCTTTGTTGAATTTTGTTGTTTGTATTGCAATGTCTTATCTTGCTACCTATGATAAAGATTTTGTGAGATATATTGCCAATAAAAACATTAACAATAATAATGATATACCTGGCTTCTAAGCAGAGATTATTTAGTAATAATCTAGTACTATATGGGATTTGGACTAGGAAAATCAACCTCTCAGCTGATTTTTTTATTTTGAGTTTTCTTACTTAATATTAATCTATTATACAAGGATTACAATTGGAGAAAAAATTGGATCTTGTTTGCATAGTAGAGGAATAGGGCTTGGAATACTTTCTTTGTATATATATATATATATATCAAAAACCAATTTTTAAAAGGATTGTTACTAAAAATAGATTTTTTGTCTGAGGGTCGATTTTCCTATTATATACTAATACTATATATTAATATATTAATATAGTCCAATTCCCATATAGTGGCCAAATTCCTCGTAAAATACATGTATATATATAATAATAATAATAGAGTAATAGTAGAAATTAATTATCTGTAAAAATCTTTCTAAATTGTATATATATATATAAAATAGTTTAATAATAGAATAGAAAATTATGATATATAGTGCAAGACACCTAGTCCCACAACTTTTTATTGTCCTTGTAGATCCTTCTCTAACTCCAAAAATGGAAATGTAACACCAAAAAAATAAGCCGTAATTTTGAAGCTAAGACCTTTCTCTA